GCCATTGGGTTGTCGGCGATAAATGGTGGGTTGCTGGATATATGGATGGGTGGATGAAGAAATGGATAAGCGGATGAGGAATTGGATATGTGGATGAATGGGGGGGTCTGGTCTAGTGACAAGTGAGACGCCATTGGGTTATCGGCGGCTGGGTAACTGGTGGATTGCTGGATATATGGATAGGTGGATGAAGAAGGATAAGTGGAATGAGGAATTGGATGGGTGGATGAATTGCGGGGAAGGGGAATCTCGGTGTAGGAACGGGGTTAGTAGGTGATGAGTAAGTTTCGTGGTGAGTAAGAGTATAAATGGCGTGAGTAATGGATATCTGAGTGAGCTGATGTGTGAAGAGTGGATGAGTGGAGCGATTCAATTAGGTGGATGAATGAAATGTTGGACGGGTGTATGGATGAATAACTGGATTGAGTGAATGATTAATAGACAAGATGTGTCAACCAGTCAAGTGTACGAACCACACGAGCCTACGAAACAAGTGGATAGACCAAGTGGATGAGGCGGAGGTGGATGAAGAACCTCCAGGTGGACGAATCGGGAGCGAGGGAGACAAGGAAAGGTCAGTCATCAAACTATAATGATCGATTCGCCAGTAAGTCACAGAGACAAGAATCGATTGATAATAGAACAGTGAATCGATTTGGAAAGGACATGAGGGGGGGAGGGAGGGGAGGGGGAGGAGGAGGGGGGGAGGTAGGAGAGAGGAGGAGACGGGGGAGGTAGGGAGAGCGGGAGGGGGGGAGGAGGGAGGGAGGAGGGGAGGGAGGAGGGGGAGAGAGGAGAAGAGGGGGGAGGGAGGGAGGAGGTAGAAAGAGGACGAGAGGGGAAGGAGGGGGGAGGAGGAGAGGGGGGGGAGTGAGCGAGATAGAGGAGAGAGGGAGAGAAGAGAAAGAGAAAGAGAAGAGAGAAAGAGAAAGAGAAAGAGAAAGAGAAAGAGAGAAGAGAGACAAGAGAAAGAGAAAGAGAAAGAGAAAGAGAAAGAGGAGAAAGAGGAATGAGAAAGCAGAAGAGAAAGAGAAAGAGAAAGAGAAAGAGAATGAGAATGAGAACTGAGAATGCGAATGAGAATGAGAATGAGAAATGCAGAATGAGAATGAAGAAATGAGAATGAGAATGAGAATGAGAAATGAGAATGAGAATGAGAAATGAGAATGAGAAAGAGAAAGAGTAAAAGAGAAGAGAAAGGAAAAGAGAAAGAAAAGGGAAAAAGAGGGAAAAAAGAGAAAAGAGAAAGAGAATGAGAATGAGAAATAGAATGAGAATGACGAATGAGAATTAGAAGGAGACATCGAGAAGAGAAATGAGAATGAGAAACGAGAAAGAGAAAAGAGAAAGAGAAAGGAAGAGAATGAGAAATGAGAGATGAAATGAAATCGAGAATGAGAATGAGAATCGAGAATGAGAATGAGAAATGAGAAAGAGAATAAGAGAAAGGAGAAAGCAGAAAGAGAAAGAGAAAGAGAATGAGAGAGATTGAGAGAGAGAGAAAGAGAAGAGAAAGAGAAAGAGAAAGAGAAAGAGAAAGAGGAAAGAGAAAGAGAAGAGAAAAGAAAGCGAAAGAGAAAGAGAAAAAAGACAAGGAGACGAATGAGAGAGAGAGACGGGGGGGGGGGAGGGGGGGGGGGGGGGGAGAAGGAAGGGATGGAGGGAAGGAGGAAAAGTAGGGGAAGGAGGAAAGGAGGGACAGGAGGGTGAGAGAGAGGGTGAGAATGAAGAAGGTGAGAGAGAGGGTGAGAGAGAAGGTGAGAGAGGGGGAGAGAGAGGGGGTGAGAGAGGCCAGGGTGAGAGATGAGGGTGAGAGAGAGGGTGAGAGAGAGAATGAGAGAGAGAGAGAGAGAGAGAGGAAGAGAGAGAGGAGAGAAGAGAGAGAAGAGGATAGAGAAGAAGAGAGGAGAGAGATGAGAGAGAGAAAGTTGGAGAGAGGAGAGATAAAGTGGAGAGAGAAAGAGAACAAAGTGAGAGAGAAGAGAAGAAAGTGGAGAGAAGAGAGAGAAAGTGAGAGAGAGAGGAAAGTGAGAGAGAGAGAGAGGGAGAGAGAGAGAGAGGAGAGAAGAGAGAGAGAGACGAGAGAGAGAAGGAGAGAGAAGAGAGAGGAGAGAGAGAGACGAAAGAGAGAGAGAGAAGTGAGAGAGGAGAGAGAGAGAGAGAAGAGAGAGAGAGAGAGAGAGTAAGCGAGAGAGAGAGAGATAGATAGATAGATTAGATAATAGATATGATGATAGATTGATAGATAGATTAGATAGATAGATAGAGTAGATAGAGTAGAGAGAGACGAGAGAGAGAGAGAGAGAGAGCGCGCGACGAGATAAAAGTGAGTGAGTGAAGAGAGAGAAATGAGAAGAGAGAGAGAGAGGAGAGAGAGAGAGAGAGAAAGTGAGTGACGTGAGTCAGCAGAGAAGAGAGAGAGATGAGGAGAGGAGAGAGAGAGAGAGAGGAGAGAGAGAGAGAGAGAGAGAGAGAGAGAGAGGAGAGAGAGAGAGAGAGAGAAAGAGAGAGAAGAGAGAACAGTGAGAGAGAGAGAGAAGAGAGAGAGAGAGAGAGAGAAGAGAGAAGAGAGAGAGAGAGAGAGAGAGAGAGAGAGAGAGAGAGAGAGAGAGAGAGAGAGAGAGAGAGAGAGAGAAGAGAGAGAGAGAGAGAAAGTGAGTGAGGAGAAGAGAGAGAGAGAGAGAGAGAAGAGAGAGAGAGAGAGGAGAGAGAGGAGAGAGAGAAGAGAAAGAGAAAGAGAAAGAAGAGAAAGAGAAAAAGAGAAAAAAGAGAAAAAGAGAAAGAGAGAAAGAGAGAAAGAGAGAGAAAGAGAAAAGAGAAAAAGAGAAAAGAGAAAAAGAGAAAAGGAAAGAGAAAAAGAGAAAAAAGAGAAAGAGAAAGAGAGAGAGAGGAAAAAGGAGAGAGAGAAAGAGAAAAGAGGAGAGAGAGAGAAAAAGAAAAAGAGAGAGAAAAAGAAAAAGAGAGAAAAGAGAAAGAGAGAAGAAAAAAAAAGAAAAAAAGAGAGAGAAAGAGAGAAAATAGTGAAAATAGAGAAGAGAAGAGAAGATAGAGAAGGGGGAGGGGGGAAGAGAGTGAAAAAGGAGAGAAAAAGAAAGAGAGAGAGAGGGAAAGAGAAAATTCATAATAGAGAAAATTATGGACAAAGATAAAAGATTTATAGAGAGGAAGGAAATGGAAAAATAAACGAGGAAAAAGATCAACAAAATAACTCGAGTAAAAAAAAAGAAAACGAGGAAGAACAGAAAAAAATAATAAAAACAAAGGAGCAAAATATAGGAGTAAGAAAAAGACGTCCTTATCCAACCTATCCATAAAGCTGGTTTTAGGCTGATACTCTTGGCCTTGAGACTACACAGAGGAGGGGGTATGAGGAGGAGGGGTATGAGGGGGGGGAGGAAGGGGTATGGGGAAGGAGGGAGGGGAGGAGGAGGATGAGGAGGAGGAAGGAGGTATGATGGAGGAGGAGGGGGTAAGAGGGGTAGTAGGGGTATGAGGGAGGAGGGGGATGAGGGGGAGGGGCAATACTTATCTGCCCGGCTGTTAGCTTCAAGGAGCAAAGGAGGATAAAACATGTGTGCTTTTTACGAAGGCATGCTATGCAGGGAGGTAGAAAAACATGTTATTGTTATTATGTATATGCAGACACACACACACACACACACATGTATATATTTAAATACACACACACACAGACACACGCATATATTGTGTGTGTGTGTGTGTGTGTGTGTGTGTGTGTGTGTGTGTGTGTGTGTGTGTGTGTGTGTGTGTGTGTGTGTGTGTGTGTGTGTGTGTGTGTGTTTGGTGTGTGTGTGTGTGTTTGGTGTGTGTGTGTGTGTGTGTGTGTGTGTGTGTGTGTTGTGTGTGTGTGTGTGTGTGTGTGTGTGCATATACACATAAACAATAACATGTGTATGGAATGTATATATTATATATTGTATTCATAAGAAAAGGTTTATAGAAAAAGAGGTATGACAGAGCTGAATTCTCACATGTAACACAAACAAACCAACAAGGAAAACATTATATGAAGACATTTCTGTTTATTCTAGACGTTCGCTTAATTGGACGAAATGACATAATATTGCCTCATATATATATATAAACACACCCACACGCATAAACCCAGGCGCACATACACACACACACACACACACACACACACACACATAGATACAGACACATACACGCATCCACAGACAAATACACGAACTTACACTATTGCCAGATTCACACAAATATTTTAAGAAAAGAAACGTATGCACACATAGGAGCGTATGAGCAGGTTATCAAAGTAATGTTTAATGCCTTTCCCAATAATCTTATCAATCTGAACAAGCTTCCACGAAGTGTATTGTAAACCTTTGGAGTACATAAATATACTGAATCGCGTATGCACAAACATATTAGCATGTGAACGCACGTATGCTTAACCTAGCTTTACCCAAGCTGTGGATTCAACGCAGAATCAGAAGCATCTATTTAAATCATTCGTACGTTAATTAGTCTCCTCTTTCATATGTTTATCAGTCGTTCTTTTAGCTCTTGACTTTTATTTCCTCTCTTGTCTTATTTTTCATCTGTAAAAAAATCCTTCAAGGTATGTGCCATTTTCCCGCCCTTCTCAACACCCTTGTCCTTGCATCTATGGGTGTTCCTCCCCTCATCCCTCCTGAAATTCAATCCTATGAGCGTTTATCCTAGTCATCCCAATCTCCCAGGTCCCCTCCTCTGCGGCCCCAATCCTCCTCATGCAGCCAACCTGTTGTTGCAGTAGCCATGAGGCGGCTGTGACGTCATGGCCATTGCAGCAACGGGCAGCTCCCTCTAGCAAGGCCCGCAAAGGCCACAGGACTCGCAGCTGATAACGCTACACAATGCTGCCTTTTGTTTTTCCCCGAGCAAGGTAACGCATTGGCGGAGGGAATCCGAAAGGAGCGGAAAGGGCGGCGCGCATGTGCCGGCCAGCCCACGAGCCTTCGATTCCCCGACCAGCTCATGGCGTCACCGGGCCTTCCGTCTGGATCGATAGAGAGCGAACCTTTTCGACTCGCGCGAACAATCTAGAGAGGGAGATTCTCTGAGGCCCTCGTATCCTCGCCCCGACGTTGGCTTTTTATCCGCCCTTGCCGTTATAGCGTCATGGAGCTTTTAAGGCCAATATGAGGAAGGTAATTGGGCGTCAGTAGATGGTTGGACTCCATTCGCACCGAGAACCCTGCGTACCTAAAGCTGCACATGGCAAGAAATACTACCTTTCTTTAACCAAACCGTCGTCCTTAATCCAAAGCTTTAATCTTAATTGTATGTGATAAAACTCATGGCGACATACCTCGGTTTTCGTCTAGGATTTACGTAAGGGACACACAGAAGGGAAAGGAAAACGTCCGAACGCCTATGAATAAATTCTGGCTTGCCTTGTGAGAACGAGGTTGCGCAGTGACAGTGCGCCACCGCCATCCGAGGGGAAGTGAGGACAGGCGGGCACGTTAGTCAGCGCTGAGCACCAAAACTTTTGTCTCATCAG